ATCGAATAGGTCATGTTCAATTTAAACACTTTTAGTTCATGGAAATTGAAAACTTTCAAAAACCGAAATAAGTCGTCTATATGGACTGTTTAAATGTTAATATTTCTTTTTGACTGGTTTTCTAATTTTCTTATACAGGAAGACTCGGAGTATTATTTAATTATAAGTATACTTTTTAGAGTATAAACTACCCGGGAAAAAATAAAATAGATCTACACAGATCCATATTTTCGCCATTTTTTAGATCTAAGTTAATCTAATTTAATCTACTTATGTCTAAGAAGCTAAAGAAAAGTTGATCTAAGTACATCTATGTAAATCTATGTTGATCTAGTGAGATCAATGTATATCTACACAAATTACTGTATGTCTATGAAGATCTCCATTGATCTCGATGATAAGAAAAATTTAATACATCTATAGATATGACGGAAGATCTAAAATGATCGAAACAGATTTACACAGCACAAAGTAGATCTAATTGTGCCAAAAAATAGATCTGAGTCGATCAATGTCGATCTATTTTATTTTTTCCCGGGTATCATATGGAAATATCACTAGTGAGAAAACTAAGTTGTTTACCTTATTTAGTTTTTATATTGTATTTGTCATTATTTAGGATGCTTATTACATGCAGAGTCGAATAACTGGAGACGTATTATACGAACTACTGTGTGAAAGTGAAATGTTCAATATGCATAATGAAGACTAATGACGAATGTTGAACGGTAATATTGACCGTTTCAAAAAGAAATAAAGCGATCAAATGTGCTTGTAGTTATCATAGATCTGTAGTAAAAGAAATAATTTATTATTAACTAATACATTATGGTTAAATATTATCAATAAAATTTTTTTACAAAAATAATTTTTTTAAATTACAATTACGAGTTTAAAAGATTCGATCATTAAAGAAAATCTTTTATTTCTATTGGTGAAGCTTAAAGTTTCTAAATTGTTTTAATAACGTCCTGTGTCATTTTTTGTAGCCGAATTATCCTGGCTTAAAACGGAAGATGTCCTGTTAACTTCGAGACATGATTACTCAAAAAACGAATTATTGTGAACAAATTTCAGGATCACAGAAAAGTAAAACTAAAAATATAAGCTTTCCAGCTTTTTAAGAAAGCTTGATATTATTTTCTTTTAAATAATTCAGGAAAAGGATGTTTATCTTGTCTCTAGGTCTTTAGGTCGCTAGTTGTAATGTGGGTTGGTGCAATTGTCGGACTCTGTGTCAAAATTATTCTTTAAAAATTTGTGCAAAAATAAACTTTTTTTTAAACTTTCATTCAGCCATCTCGATGTAAAGTACTACTTTAATTTACTGAAATAATTGAAGAAATAAAAAGATTACATTCTTTTATGCATGTATATAAGAAGATTATTAAATTTTTTTCTTATAATCCAAAGGTTTTAAAGCTGAAGAAATGAACGTTTAAATCCAATCATAGTATTTCAACAAGATTTTTGTTTCCAAAAAGGGGGTAAAAATTCCGAGAAGTAAAAGAGCGTTCTTTTATTATTATTTTAATAAACTCTAATAGATTCTAATGATTGAAATATTTAAAAACAAATATTACCCTAAAAATTTTGCATTTCTACAATAAAAAAATATGTCTTGCTGATTATTTTAAATTGTTGGAAAAAATGTGAATTATTAAAAAGTTATAAAAAGTAGTAGCAAAAGAAGAAGAATAGAATAGGATTGTGTCATTTAACTTGAAAGAAAAATAGAAAAAATCCACAAAATATTTGTTATACAAAACTGCACGGAGAAAACTGGCACTCGACATTATATAAAAAATTACAATAATATCGTACACAGTGCAATACACAATTAAAAAAATACTAGAACTTGTAAATAGCCACGCAACTATATGGTAATTTCGAGCAAAGAGGATGGTAAATTCTCTAATATCAGAATTATCATAATAAAGTTATTAAAAAATATTTATTATAATTAATTTTTTACTTTGCGTTTAGTAAAATTTTCGGAATGTATCGTAGAATTTCGTATCAATGATTTTCTAATTTTTACAATGTAAAACGACAGAATTTTTACAATAATTAGAATGAACTTATGCTAATTAAATTGAAAAAGCTCGTAAATTGTTTTGAAAAGTTTACTAAGTACAATAGAAAATATGAGTGATATAGATCACGTAATTTTTACTAAAAAGCATGGTCTTTTACAAGTAGCTCATATTTTACGTTATATTTAGTAAATTTTTTAAAACGATTCACATTCTTTTCCAATTCAATTAACGAAAATACAGCTGATGAATTTTTTTGGAATTTATAAACTTTTGTATGTTAGATTTTACTACCTTATTATCAATATTATTCAATGTTAATTCTTTTTTACTAAACGTGATCGAAAAATTACTCCATGCTGAAGAAAAATTCATTTCTACAATCGTTGAAACAAAGAATATCTTTCTAAGGAATTTGCTTTCTTAGAAATTGGCAATAACATCATCAACTTGATCACAAATTTTACTATACTTTTAGTAATTCTTGTTGTAATGTGGATCGGGCTGGTTAAGTTTTCTTCAGTTGAGCTGAGAATATCACGTAGTAAAGTAGTGAGTGTTTTTTTAATTTCTAGGGTTGTGATTCTTCTTTGTTTTAAGAAACATGGATACATCAGAAAAACTACCAGATCTAACACAGTTTTTCAAGTACTCTCCAAGAATTGTTTCCTAACTCTTTTAAGCCAAAACATCATTTTTTAACGCATTATGGAAGAGTTATGAAATTAGTTGGTCCTTTGTGGCACATTGCTTGTATGAGTTTCGAAAGAAAGCATAGACCAAGTAAAGTTACGGCTCGTGTTTCTATGAGTCGTCGGAATATTTGCTATACTTTAGCTTTAAAAGAACAACTAGTACTTAATAATTACTTTTTAACAGCACATGATGAAGAATATGAGTTTATATCAGGTGCGAAAAATGAAGTTTTGATACATGAACTTAATAACTACAAATATTTTTATAATACTTTACTATCGATAGCTTCAGAAAAAAAAGTATCTGTTACTGATTGGATTTGTTATGATGGTTTGACATTAAAACCAGAAATGATAGTGATGGTCCCGTCTGAAAATGGGCCAAATTTCTTTTTTATTCATTATTTAGTTTTATGTGAATCACATAAATTAATCGCTCTTACACAAAAGTTAATTGCATATTATAATCATCATTTTCAAGCGTATGAGATTGAAAAAAATGTTTACTCATTTATACCATTATATTGGATTGATATACGTTATAATATAATAACTTATAAAATTTTACTTGGTGATGGTAAAGAATACGTTGCAGAAAGATGGATTTGAGTAATCTATAATGATCCACGTTTATAAACTAAATCTTACTCAAGAGTATTGTAAGCTGCTAGTGTATTACATGATTATAAAACATATATAATAAAACATTTAAAAGATAAATTTGTTTATAAGAATTATTATTAACAATTCGTGAGCTTTTGTAATATTTCTTTTTTTACGTATTTTTATTTTAAATTTTATAATAAAAATATGTGTAAGAGAAGAGAAATTACAAAAGCTTAAAATACATTTTTTTATATATGTACAGAAAAAATTACATTGTAAGAATATAATTTTCCTCATGAAATTGATGATCTTTATTATTTAAAATAGTAATATATCCCAAGGTTACTGTAGAAAATGACTTTACAAATAAGGATCATTTTCAATTCAACATCGGAAAAATTACGAACAACTGTAAAGTTATTAATTATGTATATAATATAAATTTTTCCTAAGGAATGCAATTTTTATTATAAAATTTAGTAAAATGTGTTTTTTATAGTAATAATTTTTCTTTTCAACATTTCATAAAATTTTAATTATATAAAATAAAAATTAAATTACAACATAGAAAATTGTCTACTACTTTTGAATAACTTTAATAATAAAATTTATGTAAAAATAATTCTAAGTAATATCAATAATTTCAAACAGCATTCAGTAGTAATTAACAAAACATTCTGTGGGTTTTGGAAAACAATAAAAATTTAGTAATTCTTCCATACATTTTTATATAAAATTTATTAAAAATTGAGCTTCAGTTTTCTCCGTGTGAGTTACTATCAGAAGTAAAAAAAAAATTTATTGATCATTCATTATTTATTGGTCTGTGATTATAGAATTCAACAAATTTCTACATTGAATAAAAAAAATACCAATGTTGAAGATGCAATATAATAAACACAAAAATATTACATACTGACACACTAACTAGTGATGCGAAATGACCGTCAATTTTTGAAATGGTCGGGTCACGAAATTTTCGACCGTCAATTGACGTAATTTTTTAGTGGAAGGTTACACCGTTAGAGGTGTACCACCGAATGGCTCCTAAAAAATTAAGTGTATTCTTTTGACTTTTTAAAATTTTTTAACGCTTTCAGAAAGTATTAATAGATCATGAAGATTAAAATAAATAATTAATTGTAAATTAAGAAAATCAGTTTACGGCGTTTCCCTCATTAGCCGACCTAAAGTGTTAGCAGATATTACGTTGCAATGTTGCCAAATGTGAATTCGGGTCAACTCGGATGAATTCGGACTCAGTCGTATTCCCCTGCTTTCGAGTGTGTTGAATGAGCAAGTTTAGTTTTAGGTTCAAGCCGGTAAAAGATGTGGCAACGTTGCATCTTAAAAACCATTGCGGCTTTACCCTCATAGTGTGACCTATCTAGGGTTAATATGAATCTTTGAAAGCGTATAATTATTATATAAAATTATATATAATTTCTTGAAAAAGTGAAGAAACTGCTCTTAATATCAAAATTATACCAAGTCTATCTAGAGTATATGTATATATAATATACTTACATGAATATTCAAATTAAATTAGTAGGTCAACCTTATTGTATAAAATAAGTTCATCAGACTGAATATTACAAGCAACTCTATATTTAATGATAAAAATGTCTGCAATGTTGTGATTAAATATGCACAATTTGTACAGGAGCTATCTTCCATGATGGAGAAGAAGCAAACTATGAAGCTTTAAAAAAAGCACTCACAGTTCTGAAAGAAGAGCAAATAGCACCGAGCTTCGAGCTGCAGCCAATCATAAAATGGGTAAATTCAAGTACTGACAGCTTTAAGACATCTCTTGCAGGTAAATATGAATAATATAAATATTATTTTTTTCAGTATTGTATTAATTTTTTTCTCTCATTTCTAGCTTGCAGTTTAGTAGAAGAAGGTGTAGCAGCAATATTTGGTCCAGGAAATTTCCATACACGTAATATCGTTTCAAGTATTACGTCCAGATTTGAAATTCCACACATTCAATATTCATTTCGTCGCATGGATGATCCTCTGCTTCCTCATACTACAATCAATATGTATCCTGACAGTGAAAAAATTTCTGACGTGAGTATAAACATTTGTTAATTAAATTTAATGCACAAAATATCTCTATATGATTGTGCCCAGTCTCTGGAAAATTTTTCACACTAAAAATATGCTCCAGGCATTAGTGGATATTCTCAAAGCAATGAGTTGGCTACAGTACACTGTGGTATATGAGACAGATGATGGATTATCACGACTACAGAAGGCTCTGTGGAAACATGGCCCAACGAATTTTCCTATTACAGTTCGTCAACTAAAACCAACTTATGATAAGTCTACACATGAACCTGATTACAGACCCCTGCTAAAAGAAGTTGCCAATTCCACGGATTTCAGTATCATATTTGATGTTGAACCTGAAAATTTATGGTCTATTTTAAAGCAAGCTCAAGAGGTCAAGCTACTGAAAGATTATTATAACTACATCATTACGTGTCTGGTATTATCTTACATAATTCATTTGAAATTTTATCAACACCTAAATAGACTATAAAAACTTTCTAGATGAATCATACAACATGTACTTTTACAGCATATTCCCAGAGATGAATTATTGTTGGCACTAAATGGATCTGAAGCAAATGTTACAGCCATTCAAATAATTGCCGATGATTCATACAGTCTACCAACGGTATGTTTTTTTAAACTATTTCACAGTTAAAATATATTTAATGCTTCATTAAAATGAAAGCATCGATTTTTTGATGAAAAAAAACTGAGTTAAGAAAATGTTTGGATTAATGTAATATTCACACATGCAAGTAAAGTGAAATAACTGAGCAAATACATACTATACTAGCTATGAAGACAATAATCAGGAATAAGATGTTATAGTAACTATAATACAGTAATGTGATAAGAGAATCCTCATTCGATAGTTAAGTGTTCTTGGCAACATAATCTCTTCATTAAACCACCCCACATGAAATTCAAGTACCACTTTCACGTATATACATACTGCAACCACTTATCATTGTTCTCACTGAAATCTCCTTATATCACTATAATATATACGGGTGTTTAAAATTAAAGAATTACTCGAACGAAAACAATTCCTATGGTTTTTAACAATGATTTTTTTAACCAATTCTATCCAACTTTGTCTTAAACTTCTTATTGCAATATAATAAATAATTACACAACACAAAATCAGTTAAACGTTCAACCTTTTTCATTGTTAGTCTTAATATTTTTATTTAAGTTTTATTAAAAAATTATACAATTAAAATATCATTCTAGGGATCTGGGTGCATGATGAACTTGCTAGTAGAAAGAATGAATGCTATATGTTCTATTTATTATGTTTTTGAATTAACGATAATAACGTAAAACGTAAAAGAGACAGTCGAAGACATGACTTCGTATCTTTCGTAAAATATCTCAAATTCAATTTTCAACAATATTGTTGACACAAAATGACCCTGTATGAGACCAATAGATTATTCTAAAAACAAATTTTTTTTCATTTCCGCGGACTTTACCCCTCCGCCTTTCCGGACCGCTAGCTAAAGGCTCCGCCCCTGCACCCCCAGTGCGGTTAAACCTATATAATAAAAAAATTGGCTATTTTTCTTCTTCTCGGTTTTTTCATTCGACACAAAAACACAACTAGACTGATTTTGTTCAGAATCTGATCAAATCTAAATTTCATAATTATGAATTTAATGAAACCAGCCCCATGTCATCATGTGTTGTCGAGATACACGAGACGAAAATTGAATTCAAACTTACATGCATACACACATACATACATACGTGCATGCACACACGGACATCCTTTTAAAGACCATTCTATTTGACTCTAAATACAGTCGACTCGCGTTATGAGCCTGGGTACGGGCGGTTAGGAGAGGAAAATTCTTCGAATTGGCATTCCCCCACTACTATGCAATTTTCCCTTATTTGTTTGCGAGAAATAAATTGTGGTCGACTCGCGTTATGAGTCCGCTCATTTTGATAAAACAAATTATACACTATTTTCATTCGCAAATATCCAACACCATTTATTACTCCTCATTCTTCCACTATTGAGAACCAAATTTCATTCCTCATTTCTGAATCTTTAAATATATTAATTAGTTGATAACATAGTTATTATTTATGCATATATTATTTTTCAGTTTTGTGATGAAATATTCTAATAAACTCAATTTACGAATAAACAATAGTTTTTATTGTACTTTTGTTTTTGCATTTAAGATAAATCTATGGAGTGCGGACTCTTAACGCGAGTCGACTGTACCTTAAAACGTGGAGATATGTTAAAATTTGGAATTTGCAAAATCAGATCCATTACAATAAATTCCGACAGGGAAGTTAAAAATTCATTTAAAGTGTTAGTCTGTTCATTAATCTTTTTATTTTAAACCTTAGTGTTGACTTGTTCTTAGTATTGTAATTATACTTAATTAAAAATGTCCCATTCTATTACATTTATAAAAATAATTTTTTCCACATTCTAGGTAGAAAGTGCATTCCTCTTTGATTCTATTTTTCTCTTCAACGATGCTCTAGAAGCACTAAATGCACGCTTGAAAATCAATGGCCACCAGCATTTGAAAATTGAACCGGAACCACTGTCCTGCTCTGATACAGTAAAATATGAAGCAGGTCACAACATATCAGCTTTGATGAAAGAGGTCAGTAAATATCGAAAAAAATAGTAAAAAAAACTCTGTAATTTAGCACTTCCTTTTTGTATTTATATTTTTTCATTATAACTGATAGCTACTTTGCCGACAGGAGTCAAAGATGTTGCTTATAATCTGTGTATCGTTGTCTTAGCAACATAAACCCTAACGACAAGATAGCGCTGCTAGATACACGGGTTCTTTTCAAGATTATGAATGAACTTGCATTTACTATTTCCACAGATAGCATCGGTGGGTAGAACAACTGGATATTTGAAGTTTAATGAAAAAGGAGGGAGATCGTTCCAGCTAAATTTTATCGAGTATCATATGGGTAACGCTTTTGTCTCTGCAAATTGGCAGGATGGTGAATTCAATGTTATGAGAACCCAGAAAGAAAGAGAGGAATCAGTATCAAAGAGTATTGAACAGAGAGTTTTTAGAGTTACTACGAAGCCTGTAAGTTGTTTTCTTTTACTTTTATCAGATAAAGATTTACAATTATACTTTCAGTATGATGCAATAAAATAATTATGTTGAAGGGTATTGTAATTTCCTCTAAAAAGAATCGCTTGATTATTTTTAAATATTGAGAATTAACTCTTTTCTTACCTGAATGCTATTAAAATCAATAATAATTACTAGAATAAATATTTTCTGAATTAAATTATTGAATCATGACAAAGAAAGAAACTAAATAAAGTTTTTGATAGAAGATAGTAGATGTTATTATTCTGTTTACATTTCTTATTATTATTATTTACCATCATCCTACAAAGAGTTAAATAGCCATGACAATTACGTCAATCTGATAAGTTAAAGGTATAGAAAAAAGAAGGAAACAGTATATATATTTTGTTTTGATTTTTCCTAAAACTTGCTATCATTACATCTTTTCTGTATGAAACTTTAAAGTTTATGCTCATATTACATCAATAATTAAAATTATTTTTAATTCTTTATTTTAACACTTTTCATTTTATTCGTACTCAAAACTTACATTAAAAATTTTTTTTTTTCTGAAAGCCTTCAAAGTTATCAACTAATAACTTCGACGAAATAATTTTTCTGTTGAAGAGTATTATCAATATTTCAATATATTGGAAGTTCGGATGGGTATTTGTGAAATAATCAAGTACAAGTTGATTTTCTATTTTCAAAAATTATAACTTAATTCTTTATTATTATCACGGATTGCATTTAGAGAAAACGTCTTTACATTACAGATAGTCGTACAGAACTAACTAAAGACTTTAAACTGAAGTATTATTTAGACAAAGAGATCTAAGCCTCTTCTCTATTTGTTTAAACATTACAGATGGTTATAATAAATAAAACACATGCAATACTCTGAAGATAGAGTACCAAATAAAACTTAATAAAGAAAGAGTCCTTTGTATGACCCAAGTGTCTGAAGTCATAAAACAGGGTTGGGCCTTGGTTCTTTTCTTTAAAAATATGTTTATAACTAAGTGTTGAGTTTAACCATAAGTTGAATATTTAAAAAACTATGAAATAAAATAAACAAAATATTAACTAAATAAGATTCATTTTTGTTCAGAGAATTCAACACGCCCCCTCAAAAATGAATCCCTTACAAAATAAATTCAAATACATTCTTAATAACAATATTTTCTAAATCTTAGTTTTAATGATTAAATAATATGAATATTGCTTACAATACTGTTAACAAATGAAACTGTAATGACTTCTCTTTATGCAATCCTCTTATTTTATATCTCTATCTGATCCAACATTTGTTGCTTATGGGTAAAGGGAAAACCCATCATCGTATGGGAAAACCTTACCAGATCAGTAACAACAATAAAAAAAACTTATAACTACATTAAACCCATTTGTGTTCTAAATTCCACAAATTTGACTCCTGGTAGAGATTTTGTTAATGTATCAGCTATCTGTCGATCTGTGGGCATATAAACCAATTTAATTAGTCCCTTTTCTACTTTGTCACGAGAATAATGATATTTAATATCAATATTTTTCGATCTCTTGTGACTTGATGGATTCTTCGCGATACTTATGCAACCATTATTATCTTCATATATAATTATAGGACCTGATATAATAATTTTTATACTTTCTGCTAATGATTTGAGCCACATAGCCTCTCGTGCAGCTTCATGCAGAGCCATATATTCAGCTTCTGATGTAGAACCTGCTACAGAGGCTTGACGTTTCGTAGCCCAACAAATAGTACAACTATTATACATTTTATATAAATATCCTGTTGTGCTTTTCCTGTCAATTTTATCATCTGCCCAATCTGCATCGACATATCCACTTATTATATTCTCGTAATTTCTTTGTTCATATGTTAATTTTATATTACTAGTACCTTTTAAATATCTAAGAATTCTTTTCAAATACTGCCATAATGTAATATTATTTTTATTCATATATCTACTAACAATATTAACAGCAAAACTTAAATCTGGACGAGTACAAATCATTAAGTACATTAAACAACCAATAACACTTCGGCATGGCTTATTACAATCTTCATCTGAGTTTAAACCTATATAATTAATTTTAGATTCAAGAGGTGTATTTACTGGATTACAATCTTGCATTTTAAATTTTTCTAAAATTGATTTTATATATATATTTTGATCTAATGTTATAATAGTATCATTTCTAATAACTCGTATACCTAAAAATAATTTTATTTCTTTTAAATCTACCATTTGAAACTTACACTTTAAATATTCTTTAAAATTATTCATAGTATTTATATTATGAGTAGCAATAACAAGATCATCAACGTATAAAACTACATAAATATTCTTTATAATATCACCTAAATCTAAAATATAAATACATCTATCTACTGGAGAAGTTTGAAAATCCACTTCTTTTAATGTTAATTCAAAAACCTCAAACCAGCATCGAGCTGCTTGTTTCAAACCATACAGTGCTTTATTTAATTTACAGACCTGACCTTTTTTACATTGTACTCCCTCAGGTACTTTCATAAAAATTTCTTCTTTTAGTTTACCATTTAAAAATGCTGTCTTCACATCCATATGGTGTAATAACAAATTATTCTGATTAGCAAATGCAACAATAAATCTAAAACTAGCTATTCTAGCTACCGGAGCAAAAGTCTCATCATAGTCTACCATGTATTCCTGACTAAAACCTCTAGCTACTAGACGAGCTTTATATTTATGTGGATTTCCAAACTCATCCTTTTTAATTGTAAATATCCATTTACAGTCTATAATATTTTTATCATTTGGTTTTGGTACTAATGTCCAAGTATTGTTAATATTATGAGAATCAAGTTCACTTTTTATAGCCTGCTCCCATTTAATCCTATCTTTCCTATTTTTAATTTTATCAAACGAATTAGGAATATCATTCATTATTACTTGAATAGATAACATACATTCTTCAGGACTACTCGTTTCATCATACGAAATTTTAGGAAGATGTTTGATCCTCTCACTCCTTCGACAATGAATCCCAGAATCATTTTCATTTTCTAATCTTGGAAGTTTGTAACTAGGTTCATGGTTCACATCTGATTTTTCATTATCAGATATATTAAAACTATCTGGTTTATTATTACCAGATTTGTAAAAACTATCTGATCTCTCAGTATCAGAATTATCAAAATCAGCTGGTTTACTATTACTAGATTTATCAAAACCAACTGATTTATCAATATCGGATTTATTAAGAACATTATCATTTGATAATGTCTTCAAGCCATTATTTTCAATTACTAATTCATCAAAAGAATCAGTTTCACGTATGGAATCTTTAGGGTTCATACCTGGCCGAGACATCATAAAATTTGCCTCGTCCACGATAACATCCCTCACAATGGCATATTTATTCAGTTTTGGATTCCATACTCTATAACCATTTGGTTCATAACCAACCAGTATGCCCTTCCAAGACTTACTATCGAATTTACTTTTATTAATTTTATCATGTACATATACAGTAGAACCGAATACTTTCAAATATTTAAATGTAGGTTTCTTATTATGCCATAACTCATAAGGAGTTTTCATTACCTTTAATGCTCTAGTAGGAATAATATTAATTAAATAAGTTGCTGTTAAAACTGCATCACCCCAGAAAATTTTATTTAAATAAGACCCAGCTATAATTGACCGAGCTTTTTCTGTAATTGTTCTTATCATACGTTCAGCAGCACCATTCAATTGAGGTGTTCGTGGAATCGTCAAATGATAAGTGATACCCTTGTTTTTACAATAACTTTTCATTTCGTTAGATAAATATTCTCTACCATTATCTATATATAAATAAACTAATTTGAGATTAAAATGAGCTTCACTTTTAGCTACAAAATCTTGAAATGCTGAAAATACATCTGATTTATGTTTAAGCAAATAAACTACACAGTAATGAGTATAATGATCTAAAAACAAAACAAAATAATTTTTATCATTTAATGCGGTTGGAGTGATTGGACCACAGACATCCGAATGTACAATAAACAATGGTCTTCTTACATGTTCTTTATTTTTAGTATTATTAAACGGTAATCGAGTTTGTTTCCCTTGAATGCATGTTTCACATATTTTATCATTAGGATTAATTTTTATTATTTCTCCTATATCTTCTATCATATTATAAGTCTTTAATTTAATGAATTTATCTCTACTTATATGACCTAATCTCTCATGCCAAATATCATAATTTGTTTTCTTATTATCAATTTTAACAACAGAATTGATTTCGAAATTATCAACTACAAATTCAATTTGTGTCAAATTATTTAATGTCTTACCTTGCATGATGACTATACCATTTTTACTTATCTTAACTCCATGTTGATCAAATAAAACAATCATGCCTGATTTTTGAAGTTTGGCAACGGACAACAGATTGTAAGGTACTTCTGGACTATACAAAACATCTTTGATTGTTGCCTTGACGCCTTCGTTTGTTATTCCATTGATTACACCACGTTTAGTTGCTGAAATAGACTCTCCATTCTTTGCTATTGAAATTTTTATTGGTGTTTCAAGAGGCTGAAAATTTCTTGCGATGTCTTCTCTATTAGTGATGTGATCTGATGCTCCAGAGTCTAACAAAAATATAATTTTATTCTTATCTGTCTCAATTAAATTACTTTCACCAGCCATGAATGTTATTCTATTCTCTGTATTGGGCTCTGTTACTTGAATAATTTGAGCAGTTTTATTATGTTTTCGCTCACTGTACTGTTGATTTCTTTTAAAATAAACACAATTTCTCTTTATATGTCCTTCACGACCACACTGATAACACTTTACTTTAAATTTACCTTTATGCGAATTTTTAGAATTTTTAAATAATTTATGAGCATTTTTAAATTTTGATTTTTCACTATAGTTTGACTTTCGAAAAATAGATTTATTTTCACTGGTTTTATTCTCATGATTATCATTATTTTCCGCAACTAAAATTTTTGCAGTTGTATCGCGACTTTCTTTGTTGATTTGAATTTCATGATTCAATAAACGTGTTTTTACAAAATCTATATTCATTTGATCTTCATTTTGGTTATCAAGCACAGTTCTTATTTCTTTATATGATGATGGAAGCGTCTTTAATAAGTAAAGTACTTTATCTGCTTCCGCTAATTTTAATCCTGATGCTTCTATATCATTGACATATGTATCAAAAATAGAAAAATGTTCTAAAAGAGACATATTAGGTGCTAATCTTAATTCTATAAGCTTTTCTTTCAGATTCATCTGTGATCGAATACATTTTCTATCATAAATTGAATCTAATTTATCAAATACATCTCTAGCATAAATAATATCTGTGAAATGTAACAATGAATCTCCCAAATGTTTACCAATAATACCATGAGCTTTATTATTTTTCTTTCTCCACTTACGATCTGGATTTATGGGTATTTCTTTATCAATAAAACTGAGCAAGTTCTTTTCTTTCAATAGTAGACGCACTCTCTTCTTCCACACACTATAATTTAGTCCATTAAAACGTATTATTCCACTTTGTGGCTTTAAAGTTTCCATTATTATAAAATATTATAGCACACTAACAAAACAAACTTAATTAATATTAAGTCTTAATAATTAATTTTACACAAACTATGATAACCAAATGTCACTTTTATATTCTTCAATTTAATTAAAAAAAATACAACTCTTTTCACAAATTAATCACTCAGTGTTACCTGGGCCCATAACCTATTGGAAGTTCGGATGGGTATTTGTGAAATAATCAAGTACAAGTTGATTTTCTATTTTCAAAAATTATAACTTAATTCTTTATTATTATCACGGATTGCATTTAGAGAAAACGTCTTTACATTACAGATAGTCGTACAGAACTAACTAAAGACTTTAAACTGAAGTATTATTTAGACAAAGAGATCTAAGCCTCTTCTCTATTTGTTTAAACATTACAGATGGTTATAATAAATAAAACACATGCAATACTCTGAAGATAGAGTACCAAATAAAACTTAATAAAGAAAGAGTCCTTTGTATGACCCAAGTGTCTGAAGTCATAAAACAGGGTTGGGCCTTGGTTCTTTTCTTTAAAAATATGTTTATAACTAAGTGTTGAGTTTAACCATAAGTTGAATATTTAAAAAACTATGAAATAAAATAAACAAAATATTAACTAAATAAGATTCATTTTTGTTCAGAGAATTCAACACAATAGTTGATGTTTTTAATTGAACTAACCAAAATCTTCTTCAATTGAGTTTTATTCACAACTCATAAAACAAAAATGGTTGTTATTACTTTTGGGATAAAATAAAATCAATAGAACTTTAAAATGAGAATTAATTATTATGTATATAATTTAAAAAATATTGAAATTGAAAATATGAACAAAATAACTTCGAAATTCAATAGTTCTTTGAAATTCAAATAAAACTCAAATTTCACTGGAACTTTAAAATAGATAGAAAATAGACTCGGAGAATAAATAGGAATGAAGATGTTATATTCCAAATATCAATTTACATTCAAATTAATACCAGTAAATTTGAAAAAAAAAAACAACAATTAAAATTCAAAGCATTAGGAGATTTTCCATATACAGAAAAATTTCAATTGAATTTCAAGGAAAAATTATTTACAGTATATAAAAAATAGTGTATTTGCCACGAAATAAAATTCATATTGACCAGGATTTACGATTAATAAAACTCTGCATGAATATATTATCGAATGATTTCAGGGAGAACCTTGGGCAATGGAAGTGACAGATGGATCAACTCGAGGATTCCCTATTGAAGATAAACGATGGGAAGGTTACGCCTTCGATCTTATTCATGAAATGGCAGAAATTTTGAAATTTAAATACGTTTTTGAAATTGTACCTGATGAACAGTATGGAGTTTACGATGAAAATACGAAGCAGTGGACGGGGCTGATTGGACGGCTTTTGAGTCGAGTAATTATTTACATCACTGCCCATCAATACAAAACTTATTCTCTTTTTATTCTTCATCAATTGATTCCACTAATTCTATTTTTTTCACAAATTAATTTTCTAAAATTCCAAGAAGTAACGACAGAGTAACTGATATTTATTAAAAATTAATGTTACATTAAAATTTATACATAAAACTGATTTGATTTTTACTCTTTCACTTCATTGAGAAACCATTCATGTGAGTTCATTTTCAGTTTTTTTTTTAATATACAAATAAATCTTAATCACTAACTTAGTTACTAACATTTAAAGTTAAAAAACAATGTGCTCTGCTTTAAGTTAACCATAAAAATTATCACTATACAGTTTCTAAACCATTTAATTGTGCCTTTAAACTTGTATGCAAGGTGGGTAATGTCTTTTTAAAAAAAATAGTCCAATGTTCAGCAATCTTATTTACCATATGTATACATTTTCACAGGCAGCTGATTTAGCAATATGTGATCTCACAATCACTCAAGTTAGAGAGTCTGCAGTGGACTTTACAATGCCATTCATGAATCTTGGTATTAGTATTTTATTTGCCAAGCCAGACAATAAAGTTCCAGAACTTTTTTCTTTCTTGTCACCGTTTAGCACTGATGTGTGGATTTACATGGCAACTGCTTATCTTGCTGTTTCTATAATGTTTTACATCCAAGCAAGGTAAAACATTCCCAATAATAACAATCATTTCTAAATAATATTTTTATGTGTTCAGATGATACTCATTCTTGTTTCATGGTATTTAGAGCATCGCCAGATGAATGGCAAAGTCCACATCCATGTGTATCCGAACCAGAAGAGTTGGAAAATAATTTCACACTAAAAAATTCTTTCTGGATTACCGTGGGTTCGCTTATGCAGCAAGGATCAGATGTTGCACCCACGTAAGAGGAATTTGTCATTTCGATTCTCAAGTTTACTCAGTGTGATTTAAAACTTGGCTGAACATCATACACTACAGTGGAATACTCCAATCAGTATGAAAGCCTGATTATTGTGTGGTATGCAGACAGCTTTGTTCACACTTTGCATCAAACTGAATCCCCTTAATATATTCACTCTCTCAGAAACTTTAGCTTATTCCAAACTTTGCAAGTGTAATTTTACTTGTTCTACATTGTTTTTCACTGAAAATCAGTCCAAAGTATTTTCATAATCTCCATTGAAAATATCAAGTAATCCAGGAGAATTTTAAATCGAGTACAAATCTTAACAGCAATCTTGTTAGATAAAAAGATATTTTTTATAATTTACTCACGTAGACAATAAAAGCAATGGCAAAGTGTCAACAAAGTTCCATGATAATTAATCTCGAGTCTCCGCCGTAGAATACAAAGTCGGGATTTTTAAGCGGCAATTAAGCATAACGAGGTAGTGTTTACCGAACATATTTGAGGCGGCTTGCCACTTGTTAGCGCCTCGGCATGGGCGCTAACTCTTCTTTTCTACTTCGTGACCGCGACACTGCGCGTGTTTGTCGGATATATACTCGGCCCTTGCGTTTCTACCCACATCATGTGTTTATATCACCCGCAATCGTAAACTCACGCGTACACGACAAACAAACCTTTGGAGAGCGCTCGTTTGCATACGACCAACCCTTTACCTTCTTTTGCCAATTAGGTGTCACAAAAGACCCTTTCAGTGTGGCTTGCGGTGAGACTAAAGAAGTTCTTTTTATTATTTATTTATTTATTTCATATGTGTATATATATATTACAGGGCATGTAAGGTCGGAAAAAATGGCAGAGTTCTTTTTTAATTTTTCAAGAAAAAATATATTTATGACTTTATGATTAAATTTATGATTAAATACAAAAAATGATTGGAGTGTAAATAACGCTTTTCTATTACTAATTTTTTAAAATATTTTCTTAATGCGATTAATAAATTTCATTTTTTATATTATGGATACTCCTTTCATGTAATAACGATACAGGCTTTTTTAAATTTAATTTTAACCTAATGATTATTTCTATTGTAATTGTAGAAATAAGTATCGATCGATCGAGAACAGTGACTTCTAATGGGTTAAAGGAATAATAAAAATTATGGCATTCATTTACAGATGATTTACATCACACAGTATATTATTCTGTCCTATGTTTCTTTACTAATTGAGAAGAATAATGTTGAAGTTGACCTAAAAACGTTTTCCTCAGGTACAGTTTTAAGAAAAATGTTCTCAAGCGTTACCACACTTGTACACATTTTCTCCTATACTAAGAAAGATACTCAGCAGTTACTTCCTGTTACTAAAGACTTTTTTGCATTTTATTCTTCAAAATAATTATATAAAATACGACTACACCAAATGGAAAAAAAATTATTATCGAGTTAATCATTTACTCAATAAGAATTACGTAAACATTTACTTCAAAAATAACCATTTAACTGTTTGAAATATATACTTTAAATATCTTTTAAAATATTTCAATTTATATGTTCGCTACATTTGGCAATTAACAGCAACTTGTTCGTAGCAAGACTTGAATAACAATCAAATCATCAGTTTATGACAAACACTCTTTACAATTAAACATATTGAATGTCTTTTGGATCATTTATTTAGCTTATAATTAATGTGTAATTGATTTAATAAACTTTAGTTAATAATTTAAGCTCTAAGCACATCCAAATGACTTAGAAATATCATTATTTCAACTCATTTCGAAAGAGATGTTTTTTCAATATCTAAATAGATTCAAAAAATTTTTTGCAAATATCTGCAACTTTAACTCTTCAAAAAGAAGATTCTTAATCATCCAACTTTGCTTCGAATGATCTTTCTCAAAACTGTACTCAGATGAAAATAATTAAAACACTTGAAAGCTCAAATTTGAACACTTCCTAAAGATACTAATCTTCCTTATTGTCATTAATATTGTGAATAGAATTAATTAAATAATAACAGAGATAGAAGTACTAATTAAAATTTTCAAACTAAAATTTTTCCCATTAATTACCTTGACCATATATCATTCTTTGACCTAATCTATTTTTCAAAAACTCACCTACTATCTTTGTTTTTCCAATCAAATCTAGAGCTGGATCCATTCGTACAGTTGGTGGAGTGTGGTGGTTTTTTACCCTCATCATAGTTTCCTCGTACACTGCTAATCTCGCTGCTTTCCTCACATCTGTGAAAATGGACGAATCCATCAGTAATGTTGAAGAACTTGCATCCCAGAATAAAATTAAGTATGGGGCTGTGAAGGGTGGGTCTACTGCTGCATACTTTAGGGTACGTTATTTTTTCACTCAAAATTTAATAACATGTTTTTTTAGTTTTAGAAAGTTGAAAATTATTCTATGCCATATTTACTACATTTTTTCTAAAGTTTTCCAACCAGAAGAATTCAAAAACTCACTTTTTGTAGTTACGACAACGTACCTGATATTGATCGTTAAGTTAGCTCCTATTAAAGAATACTCAGGGTTATCTTTATGGCCAACATTCGATACGTTTTCGTAGTTTTAAAGGAACTTCTTGAGATTCTTCTGATTGCCTTTTCACTACTGCGGTAAAGTGAGAAGAAGAAAACTGGAAACAATTGTGACAACCGATATTGTTTAGTTTAAATTAATTATTTTTATAAATTTTCGTTTTTTAGTAAAAATTAAATATTGTAATGATAATAAGTTGAATTATATGCTCTCAAATTTAGAGTATATAGAATGCAAGATTACAATAGATGGTGCGGGGTAGTAACAATAATAATCGATAAGCTAATTAAAATGAACATCACAGTTGATTAATATTACAATATAATTATGATGGTCAAAAAATTTTCATATTTTATTAAATTTTTTATTCATTGTTTATTTTTATATTTATATTATTGTTTATGTATATAATTTTATAAAATATTTGAAAAAATGTATAATTATGGCCAATACTCGAAATAAAATAGATGCATTATATAGATGCAAAATAGAACTTATTTACTGAAAATAATTATACAAATAAGCCTCATTTGTTAATTGTGATATGTTGATCAAAGCCAGTAAATAAAATAGAAGAGAAAAAAGTTTCGAACCTGATGTTAACAACAGAATAGTGAATTAGATTTATTAAAATCATCCTCGATAGACAAAAGTTGAAATTTGACATCAATCTGAGTTTTCTGAAAAGTTTATTTTTCATTACATTTTTAGGAAATAAAAAAATAGAAAAAAACTTTTCAATTATTGTTTTATTATAATTTAATCAAAATATAACAATAGAAAAATACAGTGAGTAAATTAGAAAAAAATAAAAAAATATTTTGGTTGCCATTGAAATTAAACCCTCGATAGGAAAATTGAATAGTTAAACTTTTTAACTTAATCAAAAAAGCTAATCTCTAAAAAAAACCAAGAAGAAAAATAAATTACAGAAGGTTTTTTATTATATTTTATTTAGTGATTTTATAGAGTATGGATGCAATACGAAAATAAATAAAGAACTTTTTCAAAGAGAAATTTTCTAGTTTTGTATGTATTTTTTTAAAGGACATACAATTGAAAAAAAATAGTAGGAACTACTTTTATTGTTAAAAACTAACTACATTTGTCGAACAAATATAGCTTACTATAGCTTGCAATAATAAAATTTTATTTTTAACAATTCAATTAATCTCTGCCATTCAATGTGATACAATGAATCTAATTAACAAGCTAAAACGATAGTAAAACGTTCATTTTAAAATCCAACCATTGACGAGAAGACAAAATATGTTAAAAATGGTTAACCGATTTCGAATAAAACTAAATGAATTCTAAATCATTATAACTTTGTAACTATTTCAACTATTCTGTTTAAGATGATGCATGACCTTTGCAACCATAGTAAGACAGTGAATCAATATTATATTATAATGTCAATAATAAATCCCGAATTTTGTTTTTGAATATCTTTTATAAGCATTTTTTTTGCGTTGATGATTTAAATAAAATCTGGCTATAATGTTGTTTAAGCCGATCACCAAATGTAATATAAAGAATAGATTCAAGTAAATTTATTGTTAGACTGAAAATCTGGCAAGAAAGAGTTGATCATATTGTCTATGATGAATGAAAATTATAATTTTTTTTCGTGTATAAACTCGGAAATCAATCATGTTATTTACTACTAAAATTGTGTAGAGCTATTTAGCAAGGCTATATCACTGTTTCGATGATAGATCACATGACTACTTTAGGAGTTTACAAAAAAAAATCCAAATTATACTTTTAATTTGATGACATATGAATGCATCAATTTTACTACTATCTCATTTTCAGGGATCAAATGTTTCTACATATCAAAAAATGTGGCAAACGATGATGGATGCAAAGCCTAGTGTATTCACAAAAACTAATGTTGAAGGTCTAGACCGTGTTGCCAAAGGAAAACGTACTTATGCATTTCTTATGGAATCTACATCAATTGAATATGCGGTTGAAAGGAATTGTAATCTCATGCCGGTTGGAGGGCTCTTAGATAATAAGGGATATGGAATAGCAGTACCACCAAGTACATTCTTTATTACATTAATTTTCCACATGCTTTATCCAAAAAAAAATATCATTTTTCTCATTCTTTTAGATTCACCCTATCGTACTCAGTTAAGTCTAGCAATACTAAAACTTCAAGAGCAAGGTGTTTTAAGAGAATTAAAAACAAAATGGTGGAAACGAGGCAGTAAGAATTGCAGTCAAAGTGAACCTCCACCTGATTCTGGTGAACTTACAATGGCACATGTTGGTGGCGTTTTTCTTGTCTTGCTCATTGGATGCTCCGCATCCCTTCTTATGGCTATTTTTGAGTTCCTATGGAATATACGAAAAGTTGCTATTCAAGAAAAGGTACATGGATGGTTTCTTTTTTTTACGTTTTTTCTAGATGTAAGACAAGGAGCCTTATTGGTCTGTGAAATGAAACAAAGCCCGCAAGTTTCCTATTATTACAGATAGTTACATTTAATCAATTGGTACTCAATGAAAAACAAATTGTTTTGTTTGAACACAAGCAACATTGAAATGCCACAAACGATTAAACCAGTTTCATTTTACAGATTTTTTGCTCTTGATTGTTAAAAATAAAAGCAATTTTATTTTTTTACATGCAATCATTTATTTTAAAATTATCTTTTTTTATGAAGAATATCTGATTTCTGACATTTAACGTTTTTAATTGTTTACATTTTATAATCTAAAATCACTGCATTCATAATATTCGTAGCTTTTGAAAAAAATTCATAAAATTTTTATCACTCTAGTCGAAACTTTGATAAAATCACTAAATAAAATTCGATGAGATAGAATTTAAAAATTTGATATTCTTCAGTTAATTGAAGTTCTCGCTTTTCATGATAAAAAATTATTTAAAAATAATTATAAGCTTTTAGGAAATAATCAAATAAACATACACATTTTTCTGTACCCTCATAAGTTCTCTTTGAAAATTTTCTGTCACTCTGTAACATGTATTTCATGACGTTACAATTAAATTTTTTCTCCCTTTCACGATGCTTTGCTATCCTTTGGCAAAAAGGATGAACTTTTGGAATAACAGTATTCTTTGTTGAAGGTATTTCAAATTATATGATTAGAAACGACATTATTTAACACAAAAATACAGCTTTTTAAGTTGATTTTGTATCAGGGCGTATTGAAAAATACTTTAGAGTAAAATAATAATAAATTACAATCAAATTCTTGTAATAAAAAGAACAATACTCACCGTGATACTTAATATCTTTTTTTTTATTGTTATGATATAATTATAACATTAGATTTTTAAAATTTGTTATTTGAGAAAAATCAATACAGTATAATTTTAATAGAAAAGTAATTAAAATTAAAAAGATGTTAATTTTTTTCATAAATAGTAGTGTTAAGTATTAATATTTTATTACAAAGATTTCCTTTAGCTTAATTTCTCTCTAGTTATACTGATGATTCACAAAAACATAAAGAACAAAAACGAAACTATCTTTTTACGTTTGAATGAACATTAAAGAGTTGTAAAATGTTAATTATTTTTTAAATAAAAGAAAATTACAATATAATCAATTTTTTAATGAACCCAACTGACATTTCTAAGCCTAATTATAAAACCCGAGATATATATTTTCTCAAAAACGAGAAAAACAAAGAAAGAACATTTACATTTCCGGTTCCTTTCATCTTGAAAATCTAAAAACCTAATGATGTTTTCTTATACCCTAACATCTCATTTAGCTTCGGCATACCATATTTCAAATTTTTTTTGACTAATATAACTTATTATTGATGATCTACAGATAACACCGAAGGAGGCATTTATGGCTGAGCTGAAATTTGCAATAGATGTTACGGCTGATACAAAACCAATAAAGATTTCTCGTAGTCGAAATGCCAGTGGATCTAGTTCAGATGATAATAGATTAACCAGAGCTGCATCAACGGCCAGGTCCTTTGTTGGCTCTTTTCTTCGACTAGATATTCTTGATAAAGTGGAGAAAGATAAAGAAAATAATTCTAATAACAAAAAAACAATAATATAAGAAAATGTAATAGATTTAGATGTACATATACAAAAAGAAAGCTGTTCGAACCTAATACATCTTAGATATTCTTTGGTTGGAAATAACCGGTGATTTATAATTTCAAAAAACTTACCTTAAAACCATTCCAAGTTGAGGCGTAAAAATAAAAGCTTCGCTGTAGGTCTGTTCACGAAATCCACCAATATTTGGACTAGGCTACAATGGTGTTAACGAAGCATACTGTCGGCTTAGAGGATTTTCTTACTACCACCAAAGATCTCGGAGCTTTTCATCTTCCTCCCTTTCTTCCCTCCGTCATGCTTGTATTTTCATCCACTCCTGAAGATACCGAGCGGCATCTTTGTGTCATTATTACCTGGACAAGGTACTGTGCGGCATGAGACCTCAGGAGTTGAGAAAAAGAGAAACGAAGAAAAAGAATGAAACTCACTAAGAATTACGATACCTGACCGTCAAAGGAAAAGCCAACCAGACCCCTTAGTCCCAAATTATTCGCGCCACTGAAACCCTGCGGATGTCGCGCATTTTATTCTTACCTCCGCGTACATTTCCTTTGTCATTACTCAGTTAGTCACACTTTTTGCTCTATGTCAAATATATAGACTACGTTTTTAAGAACATGAATTGCATTGTGATGATGGTATATGGAGCAAGCGTTACCGGTCAAAGAGGATTTTACCTGAAAGAATGCATTTAAATATTAATATACATAGAGAAGAAATAAGATTTAAATATTCAACATTCTAGACAATAAGAGAAAAAAACGTAGATTAGAGTTATTCATAAAATCTACAAAGGAAGCCGAGCAGCAATTATCAAAGATAAACTCGAGAGTAAGGTATCATCCTGTATAAACAGTCGACACGTGGGAGGTCCAAAGAAACGACTCAACCCCCTGATAATCGTTTTTCTACCAACAACTGACCTGACGCCTCTATTTGACTCACTTTGCATAATAGCTACTACGCATTTTCTACATCATAGACCTTGTCACTGTCGAATATCGATGGAACCTATCGTCTACTAGACCCTTTTTAGATTCTAGATTTCAATCATCTTGTACTAGAAAAAACATATTATACTATTCTTTTTATTAAGTTGCGTGATTGAAATTGGCTTGAAATTACTTTCAATTAGTTTATTTAACATTAATTAAAAAGATTCTTTCGATTAAAATTTATTTGTTTTTTTATTTTGTTATATATGTTAATTTTCTAAATAAGTTTTTAGTTCAATGGTTGATAACCCATTTTCCAATTTGTGTGTTAAATTTATTGAAGTTATCTCTGCAACATTTTAATGACTATCATTACCGTTTTTTGTTATATTTTTTTAACATTCCGAGTAGATTTTAATTACTTTATTTGAAGCTTAATATAATAATGATACATGAAAATCAGATTAAATATTTATTTGAAAATTAAATGCGTTAGTCGACTAATTATGAATTAAAAAGTAGATCATTTTTAATTTGTAGTATTTTTAATGAAAAGAACATTTAAGGTAAAGTAACTGTTTGTTTATAAATATTTTAGAACCATTCTTCTAAAACGAATAAAATACTTTTTACATTCAAATCACAGGAAACAAAAGTACACATTATTCATGACCTGAAAAATATAAATTTTATAAATTGTCAATAAAGGAAAACATTGAAGCAACTTGAGTAGAAATAAATAGGCCCAAAAGAAGCCCAAAACACGCCCAAAATGAAAAATAAGTCTAATACAGGCCCGATTAAAGCCCAATCTTGACTTAGAGAAATTTTCAGTGCCCAAAACAAGTCCAAATTTTGAAGGAGCCCAATTGAAGCCCAAAAATATTTTCTAGGCCCACAATACGCCCAATTCGAGCCCAAAAATATTTTGCAGGCCTAAAACACGACTGATCCAAGCCCAAAAATATTTTCTAGGCCTAAAACGCGCCCAATTCAAGCCCATTTTCTAAGATCATATTCGACAATGATGACAATAAATTATTACAAATGTAAATTTGTAGCACTGAAAGTTAATTTGATGGTAAGTTTTTATGACAATTTTTTTTTCTTTTCTAGATTTTTAAAATATTTTTGGGCTTCAATTAGGCATGTTGTGGGCCTAGAAAATATTTTTGGGCTTCAATTTGGCGCGTTGAGAGCCTGAAAAATCATTTGGGCTCGAATTAGGTCTCCTTTAGGCGCGCCCAAAAACTGATCATTTTTACTCGGGTAAGTTTTGAAGTTTTTGAACAAAATTTTTCTGTCACATGACAATAAACACTATTTATTTTTATCAACTTTAGTTTTAATAAGAGTACATATATGGAAAAATAAAAATTTCAATTACTTTATGCAAAATATTTCAATAAAGTCACAATTCCATTTAAAAAAGAAAACTCTTAGAATTTAAACTTTTAATAAATTTTTCATTGATGTGTACAAAATACTTGGAAAGAATAAACTTTCATAGAAATTTAATGTTCCATTTCTAAACTCATTACAGTTCTCTATCCTTCAGGAAATATAAAAGCTTCCTTGATAAATTTTCTGAGAGCTAAACTTTAAAATATCATTATTATTGAAATAATCGTAAACTAAAATATAAAATTCCATTGTTATTATTATTCAAATCAGCAATTATACACTTTCACGATCACCTGGTTTTTTGAGCATAATTAATCCTTCGTTAGTCGCGTCAAAATTTCTTCCTAGTTTAGTCGCGCCGCGGGGAATCGCCGCAATGTTAAAATTAATGCGACGGTGCCACATTATAAGCAACATTTTGGCGCTTATTTTAAATTACTTTATTCAAACTATCATACATGATTGAAGCGCTTCCTACCGGATTCAACATTTGGCAACAGTGCTCATTAAATTTTCCTGTCTTGTTTGGTCGCGTAGTGAGGGCATCGCCGCAATCGACTCATTTTTGATAATAAAAATTGAATTATTTAATAAATATGAGTTATTAAAAATAACTGGTTATGAAAAATATTTACAAATAATCACTGATATTCAATTCGTCAGCTTTAATATATTGTAAAATAGTTTAAAATAATTGCATTAAACAAAATTTTTTCTTACTTTTCTTGTAATTAGATGTTAATGAAAAAAGTTACTAAGTATATTTAAATAGATAAAAAATAAAAGAAAATATAAAATAATGCAAGTAGAAACAAATAAACAGGAAATGGTTCTTGGAAATTTCTGAAATGCTATATAATTTAGTAAGTTAAAAAATTGATTATAGTAGCAGTATTGAGTGATGTTTAAAATCATTAACCAGCTGTGTAAAATGCTTGGAATGATTTTTTTATAATTAGCAAAATATCAATAATATATATAATATACAGATATGTGTATATAAAAAAATGCATATACAATCTATAATGACTCGAAGTTCGTTTGAGAAATATGAGGACTCCAATCACCTATTCACAGACATATTCCCCTCTATTCGGGCATCCACCACAAGCTATTGGTGAACTCTACTCATTCACGCGGAGGGTCGTTTTAATAAAAAGCCGTGTACGTGGGTATGTGCACCTCCTGACTGGTATAATGGCCGCGGCTTCTCAGTATTTCGCCCACTCAACCACGTCGTTTCCAGAGCTATTTCACTTCTATTCACTGTGAAATGATGATGCATCATTTATACAAATATATATTTCATTGAAAAGTCTATTTTTTAGTAAATAAAAAAATCAATATATCAGCACTTCATTTATTTGTCTTTAGACATGTATAGATGATTCTTGTAGCTACTTGGGTAGTCTACTTTATGTGTCTTAACATTTTTTTTTTATACATATTTTTTTCAATAATAAATTTATAGAAAAACCTTTAGAATTGATGTTATTGAAGAAAATGAGCTTTAATGGTCTGCATTTTCAATATATTTCAAAAGAAGGTAATGATGACTTTGATGATGGTCATTGAGATTATAATGATCGTTTAGCTGGTTGTTTATTGAAAAAAAGTTTTATGATTCCAACATTGGTCTTTAGTAATCTATCAAGTTTTCTAATTATATTATCACAATGTAGTTTAGCGTGAAAAGAAGTGAAAATTCCCTTTTATAATATTTCTGGTTTTTTTTCTTGCTGTAGATTGATTGTTTTTTTATTGTGAAAGTGTAAAAACTTGAATTGTCCATCTTCTTCCTTGAACAAAATTTGAAATTGTTTTGACAAATGATAAAAATAATTTTTCTAAAGAAATTGAAGTTAAAAGTATCGAATATAGGATGCTTTTTATGTAATTTTACTTGAATAACTTACAGAAAATACTTTGATATTACGATCATTTTTATTAATCAAGAAATGTACAGGAAAAATTGAAACTAAACATAGATTTAAAGTAATTGGATTTAGAGATTTACCTAGTAACAAAATCAATTATCAATATCTTTACTATTTTCAATTTAAAAATTACTTTGTTGAACTTTAATAAACTCCTCTACATATGGAGAAGTTATAAAATATAAATACTACTCCATAATGACTTCACCGATTTAGTTTTTAGCAACAATCAAATGTAATCCTCATAATAAAACTAAAAAAATGACAAGTTATTTCTATAATTTCTTTACAAACCATATTTATGGTTAATCTTATCAACACTAATTTACTCTGTCTTATTTATCAACCACTTAAATCTTCCAGAGCTTCAATTTATATTTTTTCCGCTTATTTATTATTTTAACATCTTTTCTTCATTAACGACACAAATCTTTTTACAAAATTATACACTTTGTAACAAAGTATTAAAGACTATTTCACAAATATAAAAACTCATTCATTCAAGTGTTTATGAAAAGTTAACTCTCTCTTAAAAACTCCATTGTACAATTTTTTTCTTCTATTAATGTACCAAAGTTACGATTTTACTGTCAAACCGTCAGTCAATGTCAGCCCGGTTTACATACCGATCTTTATCACATGACAAAAACATCAGACCTGCAAAATTGATATCTGAAGAATAAGTTGTACAGTGACTTCTAATCTTCTACATCTCTATATCTAATTTTCGTCTCCACTATACTTAGAAGTACATCTTTATGTCTACAGCCGGAGCAATCAATTATTTCCTCTACCATATGTTATT